CGTGAATTTTTTTTGCGACCCGTCGACTCCGTAGCCGAAAATATAAAACCATATTTTCTATTTCATGCAAATTGCCAAAATAATAACATTATGCGGTTCGCAAGCCTTGGTCATCTTGCAGATAATTTATACAATTTTATTTTTATTTTATTTTTTGAAACATTATAATTACAACATAAATTAAACATTATGAAAGTAACTTTGTTGAGCAATTTTCAAGCAGCTATTTCAAAATTTGAAACACATATAGAAAAGTCGAGAAACGCATGCATTGTTTCCAGAATTTATAAGAGGAATTATCTTAATTTATAATTGTATAAAAATAATTATTAAAATAATTAATTTTGAATTTTGTCTTATTAATAGGAAATAAAAAATTAAGATAATAACAATATCAAAATAGATATTATGCATCCCGCAATATTTTGCCCATTTTTGAAAATGGCCCTTAATTTAAAAAAATTGCGTATCACTGATATAATATATGTGTGTGTATCAAAGTATAAATTATATTTATGGAAGTTTTATAAAAGGACATAAATCAATCAAAGTATAGCTAACAATTCGTTAGCAATGTGTTGAATGGACATGTATATTAAATAGCATGTTAAAGTTTAAAAATATATATTTTAAACATTCTGACGTTTCGAATGAATGTGCTTTTAAATTAGCTAATTAAAAAGGAGATTTTCATGGAATTAGCTTTGATGAAAATACGATATTTTTTCAAGTTATTCAATTCTACTTTATTACAACGAAACTTTTATTTGGACACGAACATATTCAAAGCTGAAATTTAAATGACTATTAGGAAAAATGTTCGTTGCAATTTACGATGGGGAAAAATTGACTTTAAATCGAAAATGTGTGCGTGCGAAAAACAAAGAGTAGATACCGTGTGCGTTTTCGATTCAAATTAAAATTCAACTCAACGCGCACGTGCTCTCATTTTTTTCGAACAAATTTATCTAAAGCTTGTATTGTATTTTAACTGAGTATTGATCATCGATGCGGATGAAGGGGGCAAATCGAACTTCATGCCTCTCTCGAGAAGCGAGTGGAAAATATATATATATATATATATATATATATATATAGGATAGATAATTACAATTTCGTTATAATGGACGGCCGCGCTAATGACACTTTAAAATCACTCTTGGTATAAATTAATACATATCTCCGTTTTTTTTTTTTTTTTAAGGACCGCGTAGCGCGGTGACGGTAATCATATTTTTGTGTCATAATGCACGACCCGCGTTTAAGCGCTGGTGGACTAAATCATTTTTTTTTCGACCGTTAAAAGCGCGGAAATCCCGTTACGCAATGGGATTATGTCATTCCCGCTATGGCATATCTTTCTCAAATTGTAAAAGTGCCTACTATTTCGGAAGAAGTCATCGTAAATATTATAAAATCTTTTCGAGACTAAGTCAAGATATAAAAATACTACGAATTCTTAGAACTCATTTCTTCAGCTTTCTTAAAAATCTACGTTATATTACTTTTTTCAACGTAACAGTCAAGTCGACGAATATAAAATTTTAACGGTCTACAGTAGTTTTTCAGTATATTCGTCATCTTCATCTGCATTTTCTGGAAAAAAAAAAAAAAAAAAAACTTTGAAGGAAATAGACAATTAGAAAGAAATAAAGTTGAAAGGATTTACTTAATAGGAAAAAGAATTTTTTTTGCATAATAGAAAATTTTCTATAAAATATAAAGATCGTACATCCCTTTTGTCCCTCACAATAGAAAGACTGTAACCTATTTAGATGGAATTTGTGACGGGATTTTGTTAACTTTACATGCCGGCTCTTTGTTACAATAAAATACGGCGCGATAAGAAGTTTCATGTAGGGGATTGCTTAGAGCTTTCGCGTGAAACGTGCACGAGACGTACGCAGATCTCGTTTACGAGAGGATGTATACGTAGAAAATTGCATTCAGGCTGATGAATCGCGGGGGACCACACCGATATTAAAATTCGCTGCGCGCGCGGGCTCAATCTCTTTTCTTTTTTATCGCGTCGGCGCGTATTATAAGCTTCTTGAAATGTAATTATGCGAAAGGGTCGAAGAAAAAAGACAGCCTTCGGAAGTTAGTTCGCTGATTGTGGAAGCGACCGGAGGAGCGCGATGACTGCATAACGGGACACTGGCCCCGCTTTAAACGACACTCGTTAGGAGCAATGCAAATACATCTTCCGAGGACTTGTTATAATTCTTCGGGACACAAATTTCACGTGATTATTTGCACCTGAGTGCTCTTCTAAATGTTATATTTATGATGTTAAACTTAGGGAAAGAGCTCTCCGAGTGTTTGCAGACTGTCTCATTAACGACGTGAAACTTTGTTGATGCACACGCTATCCCCTTGCTTTCAGCTGGCACGAAAATCCAAAGACACACGAAGGAAATTCAAGAGATTCTTTAAAGAGAAAATTGAAATATAACAGATCGATCGCATTATCGAGGAAAATTTTCGGCAGCTGTTTAACTTATACATTATTACAATGGTTTATTCTTACTTTAATTGCTTATGTTTTTTTAAAGACCGTGAAAGGCCGGATAAAATAATTTTTCTGATCGTCTTTGCGACATATGAAAAATGTCACTTATATTAATGGTTAAATAAATAAACGAGACGTTGGGCATAATGAAAATATGAGTCAGCAGGAGTAAAATTTGAAATACATTACGGTAATGTATATTAATTATTGCAATCGTCCCGCGTAATTGTTTTGGCATGACATGCACTTTTAGAATTTCCGCTTTATAATAGAAAGCAATAAAAAGGTGCTAGGACGAAGTGGATCTTACGTTGAGTGTACCCTTTTGTTTTATTTTTTTTTTTAAATAAAGGAATTATCATTTATATTGTTGTTTCGCTTAAGCGTAACTTCGAGTAGAATTGCAAGGGACAAAAGGGGCTTACTCGAAAGCATCGAATACAAACCTCATCGATCGGCTCGAAATGACGTCGGAGCGAACGATCGAAGCAACAAGCTATTTCGCGAGTTTCCATCGCATGACGGAACATCGTGGACACAGAGAGAGAAAGAGAGAGAGAGAGAGAGACGAGGGAGGGGGAGAATGAGGAGACAGTTTGGGAATCCACGAACTTGGCGTAATTATTGGGTCGAGTGGAGTGTGAAACGATGTATATCCACAGAAAGCGTTTCCCGATGCTTCCTCTGGAATTGGAGTGTTGCCAGAGTAACGGCGTTTCAATAACCATCTTTTGCTGTTACATTCTAGACTTTCAAAACGCCTTTCAATCCTCACCTTTCAGAATAGATGCGCCCCCGTCGTGCGCGAGTACAGAGCATTAATTATTAAATATCATTCTCGTTTTCGCGTACATCAGGTGCCCTAGATTTTTATCTCACCGGTCCTCTTTGAAATTCTCCGATTCTCCTGAAATTGATGTTCCTTTTAAGAGAAATGTCAGAGGCTAGCGACGTCCGCATTGATGGCGATTTAAAAGCGAGGAATTCAGCTTAAGAAAGTTACAAGTCCACATTTAATTAATTTTAAATAAAATATGAACTTTTTTTTAACTGTAGAATGATTAAAGTTTAAATGCCAAGGTTATTGTGTAAAGTACGTGAAGAATGTTGGGTAAAATAAGCGTTAAAATTTTCGTGGAAGAAAAATAGAATTGCGTTTCGAATAATTCGAGGTATCTAAAGTGATAAAACATTCGACATCTAATATCTTTGTAGAAATAATACCATTAGCGAAATATACGATCATATGTTCGCCGTGGCCACAATCAGACAATTATATATCCGTGTAGTAATTAATTGTACTGAGTTACTCAAAAGCACGACGGTTCGTGAATGTGACAATCACAAAACGGGATGATTCTCTCAGGTCTCAAATACCGCCCCGCGTATTTTCTAGAGCACAATTAATATTTTAAATTACATTTCGTACTGCCGTACTTCGCAGCGGTGTCGTGACATTTAAAAAACGTTGTTCCCGTGACGTTGCATTTTCCATCTAATTATAAATAAATGCTGCCACAAGCGTCCTTAATTACCGCATCTGCCCTATTTTAAATAAGAAGCGCGGCATGTGAATAGAGTCGCGTTTTAAAATGGAGGAGATATCTGGTCTTCTCACTTTTGCTGAGATTCTTTTTTTATGGGCATGGAGCAGAAAGATCGTAGCCGATAACTATGGTCGCGAACCCAATTAATTGAACATCATCTTTGGCTGGCACCTCGTTTCGCTTCGGGATTTCCAATAATTCTGTAATATCTCGACAGGAAATCTGATTAGGCTCCCTAGATATTTCTTACGGACTTGACTTACAATGACAACGTCGTGTATTTCTGTTCTACGGATGCGATTGAATGATAAAAGTTAAATGAAAAATCGATAAAAACTTGGTTTCGATGCCACGGTTAAAAATAGGTTTGTGATTTTGGTACATTTATGACGTTTGCACAAAGAGTCGATAACATCGCCAGGTGAACGAGTAAGGACAGTGACGATAAAAAAGCTATTATTTTATCAGAAATTATTTTTCTCACTTCGAAACATTCTCTTTGTTTGCTAGAATTTATATGCTTTATTAATAGAGAGAGAGGGAGAGAGAGAGAGAGAGAGAGAGAGAGAGAGAGAGAGAGAGAGAGAGAGGAGGAGGAGGAGGAGG